TAGTATATAACTATCTCTATTCCTATTTCTATTTCTAAACTATATTTCGAAAGCGCATTAGCCATCTCTTTTTGTGCTCAATACAAAGCACTACTCCATATTTGCCCAATGAATCCCGCTACAGATTACCATTAAACTCTGGAATTAGGAGCCAGCCAAAATTTCGTATGTCTCATTGTTCGATTCCAATGGTTGTGCTTCCAGCAACTATTGTTCAAACGGAAAAAGACAAATTCAGCTCCAGTTACTTCTCCAAAACGTACGAGGTTTTGGTTATTGAGCTGTACATGTTATGCTTCCCAAAGTTTTCTTTAAAGGTAAGTTAATGGGTTATGGCACAAACACAGAAAAGCTGTGGCTGCCTCAACTTTTTGGGGGTTGTGCCACACCCATTAACATCTGCCTTTTTCATAAAATTGCTACTGCTAGACCTTCTTCTCCACATAGCAGGAATGTCATTTAAAATTGTTTCCCCTAGAGAAAAATATGGTCGTTATTTTCCTCACCTATGCAGATGGAAAACACTGTGAAAAAATGGGATTAAGGTAAGCGCTCTACTTGAATCGCGAGGAAGGCAACAATAAAACATGCATTCGATAGCCTAAGCCTCGTGATTTACAAAAAAGTGACTTGAGCCTGATGGGTATTCTCTAGTGTGAGGTAATGAAAGCGAAAAATGGCACGAACAAAATTTTGGCTTGCTCTTAATTTTTTAGTTTGGAGTTTATTTGGATTGGGATTGCTAATATGAGCAAAGAAGTAGTAGTTCTTTGTAAAAAGTGCGAAAAGAATTGGTTGACACACCTTTGAAACAAAGATAACATCTTATATATAAAGCTGAATGTCTGTCTGTCTGTATGTCTGTATGTCTGTCTGTACGTATGTGCGGAATAGAAATTTTTATTTGTGAATTGATTTGAACCAAACTTGGCACACATATACTTCGGGGCAGGGAGCGTGTCAAAGGCTACTTTTCCTTATCGATCGATAATGCTTTCATCGATTTTTTGCAAAATTTGAGCTACAGGGCTGGGAGTTGGCACAGGGGGGTAATCGAGCATGCTGATTACAAATTTATTATTGACAGGCCCGGGCAGAGCCGGGTTTGCCAACTAGTGTTTAAAAAGGATCACCGCACTTGGGTGGTCCAGTATGGAAACCTCAGAATTCGCTCAAAGTTCACTCACAGGGGTTATTTGACATTCTGATTACAAAATGCTCTATTATGATTGCTGTACATATGCGATGGTGGACCAAAATATCTTTGTGCTAGTATTTTGCATGATGGGCCTATCTGACATTAACGATCTGTTAACGAATTTCATGTTACAACCACTTCGATAACGCCCCCCCCCCTCCCCTCACTGTCCCTCAATACGACCCCTACGACCCCCCCCCCCACGTGCGGCATGCTACACCCCACGCTCGACTGCTCATAGCGCGCATCTTCCACTCCATGATTGGTGTTAGCCTCGAGGTCAGCATGTTACTGAATGTTGCCAACATGTTAGCCATACGTGTCACAGGAAAACGCTGAATAGAGTTAACAATATTACTTCTTCAGCCGGCTGTTTTACCGTAAATTTGGCATGAAGTATGTCCACTGCACTAATCACACATTCGAAGCCTTCCTTCGGAGGCTTTACGTGATGCGAAAATGCCGTTTGGGACGAAAAAGTTGTGCAAAAGCGCTTTACAGAAGGATTCCTGATGTTTAATCGCATTTGCGCACAAGTCTGGCAGATCTTTTCCGTAGAATAGATTGTCTCTTTGTTTCTCTGAAAGAGCAGAGCAAGTCGAGGCCTTCCTGCTTTCTGCCCGACATTTCCGAAAGCCATTTGCATAGTATTAGGTTGCAAAAAAAATTCCTGGGCATTTTTGAAAATTTCATCTTCTGACGCATTCTGGCGCTCGGTCGGACTTTGATACCAAGTTTTTTTATACTGTTCAACAGAGAAAAGTCTAAACTTTTTATCCCGCTTTTGATTTTCATTGGTTCCAAGATGTGTTTTTTTTTATTTCTGTTGGTTCCAAAATGTGTTTGATTTGCGCATCAGAAAGGAAAATCTTTCCAACCATAAAAATATCGCAATTTTTCTTTCTGCGGCCATCTTTTTGTGCAGTTCATAGGTTTTCGTTCAAATCGTATGTGATCCAATCGAGGAGACTGCTAGCTTTTGACCCGCAGCTGCACTCGAGTTTTGCGATCTACGCTCAGAAAATAAAGCTATCAAACTTGCCTCTGACTGCAACTTTTTCGCAGATGACATCGCTTCTGCAACGATCGCCTTGGATAATGGGTCCAAAAGATGTATAAGGCATTACCCAAACCATCTCCGCAATAATGGTTCGTCCTGTGCAGAACGAGAAGACTTCAAAGTTACTTGCTCGAAAATTGGCATTTTTGGGGCAAAAAAAAGGTCGATTTTTTTGAACTCTGTTGAAAAACTTATTTTGCAGATGGTCGCTCAAAGGCGTAAATAGTTTCCACAATAGCCCCAGCAGACCTTCTATATAACTACAGCATATGAGCTGTCCAGCCTCTCATCATAGCTGAGATATTCTGAGCAAATAGGCCACTTTTCGCGTCGATCTTTTTCTCTTCTGCGCATGCTAGTGGACCGTGGATCACAGTGAGGTACTGAAAAGCCAACAAGACAAACATATGTTGTAGACAAAATTGCCTTTGCGAAGAAGTTTGTAGCTTATAAGAAGAATCCATTTGCTTAAAAGAACTTTCTTTACGACCCAATATTTTGGGAAACTATGACTTTTATAACTTCTGTAAAGTACATTTATATCATGTGTACATATGCTGCGTATTCGACATGCAGATAGCACGAAACTTTTCACTATGATCCAATTTAGCTAATAAAGCGAATTCTGATTTGCTAAAGTACTTCTGAAACCCTATGACCTTATTGTCAATTTCTTCAGTCCAGGAGTTGGTAGAAAAAAAAGATACGTGTGATCAAGAATACTGAAAAAACTAAACTTATCGTCTCTTTGATTAGCTTCACTGAAACATGTCAAGCTAATATCCAGTGTTCTTGAAAGTCAACCTTGACGTACATCGCAAAGATTCTATACGTCTAGCTTGTAAAAAGGAGGAAATTTCTTCGTTGCGTATGTCTTTGTTGTCCACTGAAATTTGATGGATTCTCCTAACCTTTTGAAACTTCATTATGAAAAAATATTCAAACAGATAATGACCACACATCAGTGAGCGCTTAAGCAATTGCTCACAGCTTTCACAGCATACCAGAAGGCAAAAGTTGCGATGGATGACGCTTTTTTGGAGGAAGAAAAGGCGTCAGCAGCGGAATGTTTCACGGCAGGGTTACGACAAGACAGCCGAACGATGGGTAGAGGGCTATATGTCGCCGAAAGTGGGAGGGTTCCGCGCAGACTATGCAGCAGATACTCAGCCGCACCTATTGGAATGTGTATTTATTGCAGAGGTCCGACGGGGCCTCCCACTTTCGACGACAAGTAGTCCCCGACCCCCGAACGATGACTGAGGAAGTAGTATTGTAAGAGTCAGCGATAATCGCAGAGTACACAATGTAGTATTTCAGGTAATTGCAGTTTATTGGCAGTTTAGCTGTAGCTATCTGTTCATGCGCAAATTTTGTCTCCTAATCGGCACCGCAAAGACGCTACTTCCAGTATCAGGTTTAATAGCTTACACTGTAATCAAAAGCTCTCTCAATCACATAAACACCGAAGAGCTTCAACATGTGAGGTTCTGAACTAGTAAGATGCTCTCTATACCACAGCTCTCAAAATCTTACGTATAGAGCTGAATGTCTGTTTCTCTGCATGTCTGTATGTCTGTATGTCTGTCTGTACGTATGCTCCGAATAGAAATTTTTACCTCTGAACCGATCCGGACCAAACTTGGCATACATACACTTCGAAGCGAGGCGGGTATCATAGGCTACTCTTCGTTATCGATTGATATCGATTTTGCCGATTTTTATCGATTTTTTGTGAAGTTTGACCTGGGGTAGGAGTTGGCACAGGGGGGTAATCGAGCATGCTGACTATAGGCCGTCCGCGCAGGGCGCGGAGAGTGCGCAAGGTGTGTATTGCGCGTCAACCCTCTTTCCTCGTGCACTCTCGCCACCTGTTTTTCTCTGCGCTTCTTCCAGTCGTGAACTGCCTTCAATGTACGCAACAGCGTTGCTCTCCGCGCGCAGCGCGGACGGCCTATACGAGCTACGAGTATAATATTAGTTTTTGAAATTAGTCGTTACTTTTATCAATTTCATCGATTTTGTGCAAAGTTTGAACTACGCGGCTGGGAGTTGGCACATGGAGTAATTGAGCATGCTGATTACGAGTACAATATTAGTAAAATTATTCGGTACTTTTATCGATTTTATCGGTTTTTTTGCAAAGTTTGAACTACGGGCCGGGAGTTGCCACGGGGGGGGGGGGGTAAGTGAGCAAGCACGCTGATAAATAACACAGCGGGAATAGGGAATTGGCATGTAGAAGTGGGCACAAGGAAAGATTGTACAGGGATAGAGATAAGACCATATCATAGTGTTTTAATAGGGCCGGGCGGAGCCGGATAAGCCATCTAGTTTTCCAATAAATAACACTGTTCCTTTTCTGCTGCATAAGTAACACTGAGTAGTGGTAGACTAACAAAATGAAAATTTTCATTTTTGCCATTGATTACTTTAGTCGCCCTGGCATTTATTAGGGAAAAGTAGAATGTCGACAAATTTTTTTACGAACCTTGACATGATTCCTCTAATTTGTTCACCTTGATCTACGTAACTAATTCTCAAATACAGTCGAGTCATTTTATATGACCACCTGCACTGCACACATCTCTTTGACATCTCCATCCTGCATTTGCAATTGCAAAAACCCAAAAGACACGGATTCGCTTTCCGACTATTCTAATTCGCTTACTCTTGTTCTGAAGTCACCTAGAAAGGAAGAGCGCAAGGACATAAAAAACACTTACCTAAAGACGTTTCTACCCTAAAAATCCAGAATTGGAGCGCCAAAGGTGGACAGTGTGTGCAGTGACACTCATGACAACTGAAATGACTCGACTCCAGTCTCGGCATCTCACAGTCGTGGTTAAGCTCGTTGTACACTTCACAAAAGAAGAAAAGCAGCTCAAAGTAAACGAACACGACATAGGCATACATAGACGGACTTACATCTCGGGAAAATACTAACATATGCATTTTCAAAATGATTGAATGGTCACAGAATCTCTGAATACCAGTCTTGAAGAGAAAGTGGTTGAAATGAATTTCCCCGATGTTATCAGGGCTTTTGCAACACTTTGTATGGTCGGTTGTTTGCCTTTGTGACCATCTCGTTCCGAAAAACGATCCACAAGGAGACAACACTGGATAGTGCGAACATTTCCAAAGTCCAAGGCGCGGAGGGGCCGTAGTTGGTGTACAGTGAACTGAATAGAAAGGTTAGGAATCAGTAATACCTGGTCGTAACCTAAGTTTTGTTACATGTGACAGAGAAGATTTGTCATAAGTTCGCTAGAATTTTTGGTACTTTTCCGTTATCCGGACCCATTTTTCAAAAACCTTTCATATTATGTTTTCTAGTCTAAGGATAATTTTTCGTAGATTCTATGATGGCTACCTCCTTGCCACGTGTCACGAAAAATGTGACATGTTTCGGTTCATTTTGACATGTTTTTTTCGAAATCATTTCAGGTGAGATAAAGGAGGATTTGTGATCATTTTGAAGCTGTTCGACTGTTTTACATAAGAGCAAAACAATCATGAACTTATTTTGGAACATCTTGCTTGCTTTCAGCAATGATCAAATTGTCTTTCTCTTTAAACTCTTTTGACCATGCGATTAGCAAGAAAAGGCTATAAATGATAGCTTAAAGTACTTTGCTGCTGCTTTTTCGTTTCTTGAATGTCGAATTCCTAGCCATTTTCTCTATTCTGAGCAAGCTAGACTCTTTATCGATAATAGTATATCGTCATTATTATGAAAATGTTCATTTTGAAACTGTTTGATCGAAATGAGGTTAAAATTAACTAAAAAAACAGATTGAAGCTACATCGCTAGGTAGGGTAACATAAACTCTTGGTAAAATCTGTCAAACATATAGATGACATGTCAAATTTTTTTGACACGTGGAGGAAGGTTGACACTGTTTCCCGTGAGGCTGGGATAAGGTATGGTGCAAGGATAGAAGCAATGTTTTTCTTTAAAAAAAAGGGTCCGGATAACGGAAAAGTACCGAATTTTTACTGTCATGCCTAGGAGATTGCGCTATTGAAGAGCTTGGACTTTAAGCTGCTTTTTCCTCTAATACTCCAAAAAATTCATGAAAATTCTGAGGGGCCTAAATCATGAATAAGGAATTTTTTTGAGAGAGTTGAAAAAGTGGAGGCTAAATTGCCGTTGCATTGCCTCCAAATCTGCTTTAATCATATTCGTGAAGATGAAAATGGAAAGAGGTACTTTTTGTCGCTTCCTCGTATAAAAATGAGACTTTGCCCACGAGCTTTTTAAGCTAAGATTAAGAAAGTGCGACTAAACTAATGTACAAAACCCGAAAGAAAAAAGACTAGTAAACTAGGGACCTCCTACCTAATAACAATAGGAGCTACCAGTCTGCCTATCGATCCCGACATCTGATAGATTCCTTGATGAGTGCCCTAAAATGCAAAAAAAAACAACTGAGGAAGGAACGAAGATTTTTGAAAAAATTCCGTACCTGTTTGCGAGATCCAAAGATTTTGGAGAAAATTGTTATCACAGACACGTTCATTATAGAAATAGCCACTCCAAACACTAATACGTAAAGAGAGTAGTAGATCTGAAATGTTTGCTATATTTTCCTAATAGTTGTCAAAAAATTCCTGGAAGACTTCGGAATGGGAAATTAATGCTGCTCCAAACTGCTTGAAAAAAGTTGTGCCTCTAACATTGCACATTACACCAACAAGTGTCCCTTTACAGTGAAAATCTCATGACTAAAGTTCGCTCATACTCCCAGTTGTACATTGAATCAGACATTTGCTCGTGCAAGATTCATTTTCATACCCAAGGGGAGACAGCTGGCAGATCGTCACACCAGTTCAATCTCTCAGCATCACAGCCAGCGTCAGTTCCTGAAACAAACTGATTAAATTTACAGACACAAAATAACATTCAAAAAGCTCACCATTCGAGATCTCAACTGTGTTGGGAAGAAAAGGCCAGGGATAGGTAAAGAAATACAATCCAAAAAAGGCGCAAAGCGAAAGTATAGCTGACAATCGTAACGGAAGTCTGGAATACATATATTCGTCTCGTACTTTTTGTATCATCAAGGAGCTACCAAAACTTCTATGAAATCAACAGCTTCCAGCTTGAACAGTTGATAGACCTTTGAGAGCAGATTTTATAGTCACTTCTGTGCATCAAACCGCTGTTATTGATGGTAACAATATGTACAATCTCAATTGAAAACGTTGCTGGTTTATCAAACTCATTGTTCAAGGTATAGGGATCAATTAGGATTTCAAAGATGGTAAAATATGAAATTTTGGCAAGAATTAAAGGAGACGAAATATTTATACGAACTTCGTAGCTCGTATTGTTTCTGCCTCTCTTAGAATATGCAAACTCATTACATCCATGTAGCTTAGCAATACTTTGCCAGTTGCACAGCATTGATGATTTCAAAAGCTCGCATCGTTTTTGCTATCAAAAGAATTCGCAGATGTTAGCATCAGATGTGAATTGCTCATGTTTTTGGCTGACTAATAGTAGAAGGTCGCGCGCAGCTGTGGCATGATGATGTGATCACGCATATAAGTAGCCCACAGCGCACAGTCAGCGTTATTCACATGTAGACTTTGCTCATTTGCTTTAGTTCACTCATATATTTGTCCACAATCATCTCATTCCTATTTGTAGTTCGTCATTTAGTAGTATATTTTGTTATTTGTTCTATCCGTGTTTGTTGTTGTTATTTGTTTCTCTGATAAAGTTTGATTACCCAAGTTTGAGGTGTGCTCGTGTCCAACCGCTCGAGACCCGCGTGGCAGATTATCTTTGGTTGTGGTTCACAAGTGGTATTCGAAGCCTTATAGTTCTGACTATATCCCAACCACTAATTAATACAATATTTCTGTATTTTTGCAAACCACCGATGATGCAGCATTTTAAGCTATCCAAAAACTTACAATTTCGTTAGATCGAAAAATATAAACAAGAAGTACAATATAGCGCCAATAATGCCAGCAGCAAGGTGAGCTGATGCATTGGCAGTAACTGATTCCTCTTTGTTGAAAGAAAACATGAGCATTGAAAAAGCAGACCCTATCCTGGAACAAGGTGTTAAACTCACTGTCAAGCGATAACATGTGCTTTTTGGAGCGAGTATCTCAGTGTTTTGCTTTGCTTACGTTTCGAGAGTATTTGTAGAAAAAATCTGAATGAATCGAGTCAGTACACATATGGACGCCGCAATCATACTTGGCTTGGAATCATCGCTGCTGCCCTGGAATTTCGATGGAATGAAATTTGGCGTTGCCATGAAAATGTGTGCAAGACATTTTGAAGCACAACTCCTATAGTTGAGGAAGTTGCTATAAAAGCAATTCCACTAAAATTTGGTTTTTCTATAAGTTGAGTGGTTTTCATGAATTTGCAATCAGTTTGACTTACATTTTCCGCAGTAGACTTGCTATCAAGATAGATCTCTTGAAATAAGAACATGATGGTCAAAAATCCACAAAGATTCAGCGTAGCTGATACAAGTGCCGGAGCATTGTACATACTCAAGTAGAAGAAGGGCAAAATTCGTATGCCATCGGGGCCAAGAGGGGTGAGAAGTAGTTGGAGTGCTAAATTACGATGTACCGTGTGATCCTTTCATGAAAATAAAAAGAAGTGAATTTCAAATATCCACCAGCTCTCGAGAAACGCGCAGTTATTTCTTTTGTTTTCAAAAACTAGATCAAAGTAGTGTCAAAGCGGACAACGCATGTAAGAGATACAGCAAAAATCGATGTATAGAATTTGATTTTACTTTCTTTTTTCTCTTCGCTATATTTATTATCAACAATGAAAAATGATAGCGACGTTTCGCGCACTGGAATATGGCGAAGATTTGTCGACCACATTCTTCGTGGAATTTCAAAATTACATAGATTCGCAAAAAATTCGTATCCTAAAATGCGGTTTTGTTCAGTAATGCTTTATAGCAAAGTAGCACAAAGTATGCACGATCGGCCGGTTCAATAGTATGAAGCATCATATACAATTTATGTGCCCCCCCCCCCCCTCCCGAGTTAAGCAAGTGAAGTGCAGACAAGGGAGCTCACCTGGTCCAATGAGTGTACCGATGGCAAATCCCGCACTTACACAAGCTATGGCGCGAGATCGGTGTTCCTTCAATGACGCAGCTGAGACGTACGCTCTAAATAGAGCCATGTTGCCTGGAATGTCAACAGAACTTGGTTTCTCGTCTATATAACCAGCTTAGTGGAAAAGATTGTTAGTAAGATGCCTCATAGCACTACAAAGCACATATTATTGAATACTATATATGTTTAGCGCTTCTTATTCCGTCAATTAGGCATATCAAATTGTTAATTTGAAATTGAATTCGATAGCTCTCAAATTACAATCTCGACATTGAAATGTGCCAAATTTCGCTCATAAAGACGATCATAAACTCTATTTGGCAAGTTCTCGCAAGCTGAGAATTCATTATAGAGTATCGCAATTGTTTCTTTGTAAACAAACACCTTATTGAGGTAATGGAATGCATAATCGACCAACCAGTTCCACTTCCAACTATAAGCCTTGAACACATCATTACGTATCCGACCTGATTTGGTTTAAAGAATTGCAAGCATAAGTATAATGAATTGCCAACAAACATTGAGGTATACCCAACTAGAAGTGGCACTCTAACCTGAAAAAGTCTTCTTTTTAGAATAGGTCTACCTCATCAGTTTTTCGCCATTCACTCAAAAATTATGTTGTGCTTGAGTTTTTTTGGATAGCAAATACAGCAACATGGTTAAACTCAAAATATACCTGGTCTATACGATTGCTCCACCAGCCAAAAACTGGAGCAGAAAAAAGTTGCCCAAAACTATAAAATGCAATTACATATCCGAAAAACTCCTCAGTAGCATTGGGATTCAACTAAAATTGCTCGAATCACTGACCCAGTCATTCGTATGTAGTCTTGAAAGATACCTTCCGTAAGTATGGCCACATTGAGCTCATGTAAATGCTAGCTTGGGCAACTTGCACAAAACTGCAAGCGCCAGCAATGTAGATAGATTTCCATGGTGTAGTAGAAGCTTTATTTCCCTTCTGCTCCTAAACAGAATAAGATTAAAATGAGCCGGAATAGAATGAGTTTGAGTTGCAGATCTCGAACAATTTATTAGGTTGGTCCGAAAGTTCTGTCCCACCATTTTAAAAAAATCATAACTTCTTCCCAACACGATGTTTTTGAATGATTAGAACAATATTGAAAAGAGCAATCCATGCTCTTTCTAATGCTACCTTGGCTGTTATCTACTAAGCTTTGAATGCAGAGATAAAAGTGGAAAAAGGAAATCACTTCAAGTTCGGAATTTTTAAGCAAGCCCCCGTTAAAAAATCCAAAACTGTGCCATAAAATCCAAAACAGCCCGTTTCTTAGACTTTTTGGCCCCCTCTTTTCAGCTGAGCAAAATTCATGCTGATCGAGCTGTTGCTTCAAAAGTTATGATTTTTTGAAGAAAATATCAAAAAATCAATTTTCTTAAGGAACCAATTATTTGGCATTTTTTTTGAAAATCATAACTCTTCTAGGAGGGGCTCCATCAGCGCGAATTTTGCTTATATGGAAAGAGGGGATCAGAAAACCTAGGTTACTAGCTGTTTTGGATTTTATGGCACAGTTTTGGATTTTTTAACGGGTTTGCTTAAAAAAATCTGAGCTTGAAGTGATTCCCTTTTCCCAAATTTATCTCTGCATTCAGAGCTTAATAGATAGCAGCCAAGGTAGCATTAGGAAGCGCATGGATCGCTCTTTTCAATATGGTTCTAATCATGCAAAAACATCGTGTTAGAAAGAAGTTATGATTTTTTGAAGATGGTGGGACAGAACTTTCGGACCAACCTAATATTTGGGCATACTAAATGAACTGTGGCGTTTTGCTTGACTGTTAGCAATTTTCTCTTGAACATTTGTTGATACCATCCCAAATTTATAATGCTGCCTAGAAAAATGGAGTAAACAACATTACAGATCACTAAAAATACTGTAGCAAGTAACTACTAGGTTAGTCAACTAGAATTTTGGTTGTCTTCGACTTGTAGGATTGTTATGGAAGAGAGATGGTAGTTCAAGGACAATCAGATGGTTGGCATTCCCGCATGAAAGAACATAACTACTCAAAAAGAACGGCTATGTAATTTGCATGTCAAGCAAAGGTACTTATTAGCAAATTTAATAATTTTGAAATTCCCTTTCCCTTGTGTTTCATTGACGTAAACGCTAAAAATTGTTAAGTGCGTTATACTGCCATCCAAAATGACTAACTCTCATTTTGCTGTACCTACCAGATAATTCCTCTTTGATAAATTTCTGCTAGCATGAGGTGCAGCGAGCATTTCGCATCTTCACTGGTGATGAATGTATTTCCAATCAAAAGCACTTGTGCTTGTAAAGGAATAATGTGTTCACTTGCCTCCTCAAGCTGCAAGGATAGCACTAATGTTAATGTTTCTATTTAAATTTCCATCATACTGAAGCGAAATCCATAGATGATTGGAAGGGATTGAAGAGCAAATGTTTGTGGCAACATCTTTGTGTAAGGACATCCAGTTTCATAGTTTGATTTTCTTACTGCTAGATAATTACTTTTATCCAATTTAAAGCCAACCGAACACAAGTAATCCAAAGTAGATTGATTTATGTATAACTGTCATCGTACACAACTGTTGTTGATTAACTTAAGCGCTCCATTAAAAAAACATGCGCATCGAAGTGGCCAACAACTAGACCTAGGCGCAGCTAACATTGCATTCTTGATGAGTCATTATATTCTTAGGGAATTGTAAATTTTTGTCAGCAACTTAAGCATCTTTACAAATGCAAAACTATGTACTAGAATATTTCTGCCAGCAAGCACTGCACTGGAGGTTGTTTTTATACACAAGACAATTTTCCAGTATTTGCGAAAAACAAAAGCACGAGCATGCTTTGGACCATTGTGTACACAAAAAAGTGTTTGTCTGTTTAAGTCGCTACTTGCACAAATTCATGTCATTCTCTGTGTCAGAGCTAGACCATGCAAAAAGGCATCTCGAAAAGCTTAAAATCAGAATCATAAATAATTTAAAAATGAATTGTGGGATCATAACGATTACGTAGATACAGTTGATGATTGCTTGCAACATGAGAGCCAAGATTCGCAAATGAATATAAGCGAAAAAGCGAAGGATATACAGAAGATTATTATCACAGCGCATAAAACGGTTCAAATCCATTCTGCACAAAAAAATTGAGGGTGTAATAAATGTGTAAAAAAAGCTTCAAGATAGTAATAGATCTGTTTTGCAGCATATAACAAATGTGTATCCCCCCGTAACACATCTGCACTGAATCAGACTGTTGAAACTAGTGGAAAGATACAATTTTTCGAAAATTTGGCGCAAGTTTAAGCTTGTAACTCCGCCCCTTTTAAGCAATCCTAAGTAATTCATGCGTAGAATCTGAACTGCTCGAAATGTGAAAAATAAGTGTCGAAATTATTTGGCAACGGATGTGCTTATGAATCCTGAAGAAGAGAAATTTACTTTGAGAAAAAATTTTTTCTAGCAATGAAAGAATTAGTGCAGATAGCGCTTATTTTTGCCTGCGATGAGCAGCACCGCCCGACCGCTTTCGCAGAAAAAAAGCAAACTGTAAACGCCACTTTTATTGATCACAATGAATAATCTGCGATATGCTATCAATTTTCATTTTCAAAGCTCACCTCAGCTCGAATATCAGGCGAAGGTATCTCCTCTGGCTCTGCTGTCATTCACTTGTGATATGATCAATCGATACTGTAAACCTGGATTCGTAATGTTGCACTCCTTACTCGCTGTCAGTAGTGCAAATGATAATGCATTATGAGGGTAATAAATGATTCTTTATGAAAGTTCAAGACAAAGAGAAGATAAATCAGTTCAGAAAACAAAGGGATTGGAGGAAAATATTGTGTTATGCATTATTCATCGCTAGTTGTTCACAATGAGCACTTTAGAGGATCATTGCGGAAGTCAAAAATATTGAACACGATCGGGAAACATCGAGAACAGAGCAGCAGTGCAAAACGTGCACATCATGTGACGTGCTAAGCCAGGAGCCTGCTCATTTCCAGTGCGAAAATTCGTAATGTCACTCAATTCTATGTCGATTCTAATAGATTTGTCCGGAACTTCGTGCGGTTTCTCAGACCTATCCAGATCACTGAGAATAACGGTAGACAATTTGGAGTGCTTGATGCAGATTCTCTTCCCTTTTCAAGCAGTGAGCCTTTGATTCGACTTCATTGATGATTGCTCAAATAATAGTCGAAATTTCCAAGCCATGATTTTCACTTAGATCGATTTTGAATATTCCTCATAATTCTATTTTCGAACTCTTGGAATAGCCTTGACAACAGCCAAAGAGAACAATCAAAGTGCAATAATTAATGGGTGTCTTGAAATGTCTTTTCAATAGCTTTCTGAAATGATTCCGAAAGTCTTCGCTTTTGCAAAATCATAAAACACACAATCGTAAAATACAATTGATAAAATCTTGGAATTTGACTCCAAAATGGTTCATGAATAAACACTAATTTTACAAGGCAAACGAGTGTTTATCCCAAAATACTGGACAAAAATAAGAGTTGCAACTGAGGAAAAGATTTCAAGAAAGAGAAACGCTGCATCGAATGACACCCTAGTTGCTCGATGTTTGATGTTGTATAAATTTTGTGGCCCAAATATGGAATCTAATAGCATCAAAGAATGATTCTAGACTCTGCATAAAGCCAGCTCTGTCGAAAAATTGCATTGTATTGTTTGCTTACCCTATCCGAATGTTATCGAACCTCTTCCAAAAGTGTAAAATGTTAAGAAAAATAGGTGAAACCAGACCAGAGTAGATGAAGACAATGGGGTTAAGATTGCGATATCAAAGCGACACCAAAGGATTGGGAACAAAAAATCACTGCTGAGAGAGTAAGAAACAATTCTGCATCGAACACAGCTTAGAGCGTTTGCGTCTGAGGAGATCTCTGGAAAATGGCATGAACTTTCGGACAACATAATATTATGTACATGAACACATGATTTTTCGCCTTCTAACTCGCACAGCCAGTAAGGGCAGGTGCTACGCCACAGTTCAACCATCATACCAGTACATAAGAATGGGTGGTCCACTTTTGCTTTTACCTCGCCTGCTACGCAGGCCTAGTTTGCTTTAGTAATGTAGCAGAGCGAATATTTTGCAAGAGAAAGATTGTCGTGATGATCTACCTTCCTGTTTGAAGCTCCAAGAAAGGTAAGCAACATCTCACATTGCTGGCTTTGTGCTGATAGTAAAAGCTGATAAATTGCTCGAAAAGTAGCACTACACTCAAAAAGTTGAGTGCATGTTAGGTTGCCACGGCTCCAATTTCGCTTAAATGGCTTCATAGAATTCCATGGAAACAGTAATATTGTCAATTACTTGAATCGATAATCTGTCATGTATTTAATAAAGTTCTTCTAGTTGAGGAATTAATGTGATCGCTTTTTCTCAAAATATCATTCTGGGAGAAAATGCTATAATATTTCTGTTTGTGCAGTTTTCTGAAGAGCGGAGAAGCTGCTGGTTTGTCTTTAGATTTCAATGACATTTGTTAGTTTTTGAGCCCATGCTTCACGATATGAGGCAATTTTTATGTTTCAAATTGCTCAACGGTGATCACAGTATGCTTCAAATCATTATGTCAATCTTGAGATTCTTTTGCTCCTTAAACTATAAATTGTGGGTTCTCTGGCAATTATTCTTACGTAGACATGGCCTATTACGATAACAAAAATTTGGAAAAGCAAAGGGGAACTAGCAGAGTTAAAAGGAATATTCATCTAATGTGACGCTTGTGATATTTGCATTGAACAACGGCGGTGCCATTCCAGTTATGCAATTACAAAATCTAAAAGAAAAAAGGTTTTGGGAAGGTGCTGTGCAAACTATTGGCACACACACCTATACCAACTCACCTAATGGCAGCTATCTTCTCTAGCTCTCCGAGATCTGACAAATCCCAATGCTGCATACGGGCTTGACTTGCGTCGAGAAATTTTTAGACATAGTTGCTATCTTTCCTACAAGGAAGAGTTTAGCGGAAGTGGCCTTTTCGAATAAGTCCTATAACGCTTCAAAGAGCATTTAGCGCTACTTCAAATCTGTCACTGTCTGCCGAGCACCTCTGAACGCAGAGTTATGTATGTTTTTGGAGCAAACAATAATCGCAGAATCAGAAAATGGAACAGTGTTGAGTATACGTATGTATGTAGTGTATTAAATAGAAGTTACCTATTATGGAGTGCTCTGATATTCGACATTGGATCATTTGAGCAATTCTGGAGTTGCGAATTCAATTTTTCACGGAAACGCTCATAACTTGGCCTCCAGAAACGTTTGGCAGATAGTGAAGACAGACTTGAAACCACCTCCATTGCTTTTCAAAGTGGTATAGGAGTCGCATAAAAATGCCGCTTCAACTAAACGGACCTTTCTTGTTAACGAATAATGTTCAAAATGATCCAAGAACTTATAAGGGAAAGATACCAACTTATCTGGCAAACTGTCAAGATACTATGTTATTAAGCACGCCTCCAAACGCTGATTTCAAATCTGCTGTCCCATTCCGCGGAACAACATCCTTAAAGAAGTTATGGGTGTCCAAATTTGTCATGCTATGAGTAGCACAGAATTAGCGAAAAGCTGTAAAAAATTGGCTGAAAGTACATAGATTCAGGTTTCTATCAAGTATTTCGTCACAAGGAAGGAATTCAGCTCGTGAATACCCGCGTAGGCATTGTCGTACATCGCTAATTTTATGCCACTTAAGGGTTGACAAATTTAGCTTTCAAATAATCATAACTATTTTGAAGAGTTGTCCTGCATAAAAGAAAGACTGATCTGACATCAACTTCCAATGCTCTACATGGTGATACAGGTGTCATAAAAAAGCCTATTACGACAAAAATGCTGCTTCCCTTGTGAGATAATAACGTTTACGATTAGTCACGGCTTAGCTCTTCATCATTCTGCTAATCAGCAACACACGCCCTCATATCTATTTTTTCCAGCTGTGATCTCCAGTTGTTGAGGTAAAAGAGCCACGGAGTGATCAAATAGCGCTGATAATTTTCAAGTGATCGGATTTGGATATTTGGAAAGGAAATTTTATAAGAATTCAAAAGATCACCAAAAATTAAGAATTTGGGTTTTATATAAATGTTTTGCATTGAATTACCCGACGAAGCGCCACGACGAGTTAACGAAAACCTTACAAATGGAAGTAAATTCTGAACACTTGATAAACCGGCTGACAACACGCGGTAGTACAAGTTTCCAACCAATTGTTTATTTCAGATTCGCTCCTATTTGCATGCTGATTTTGAAGTTTTTTGGAAACTAGATCTTTTTCGGAGGTATGATAGGAATTTTGAAATTCAGTGATTGAAAACAGGTGTAGACTCCAATGTCCACACCAAAAATGCTTTTGAAAGTTATCCAGACTCTTTTCCATTCTCTGGAAAAGTAACCTAGAATCCAGTATAAAGAATCAAGAAACAAGTTTTTGTACGCTCAATATACAAAATTTTCCGAGGTGAAAGTGATCTACTAGGAAAGTATCAGTTTAGTACCAGAAACTTTTGGGAACATTAGCAAGAATACAACATGTCCCTATTGGAACGATCCACAAGTCCTGCCGCATTTCGAGGTTCTCTTCGCATTTCGGCTGTTATTTCAGGCCATGAGATTTGCAAGAAAATTTCAATAGATTTTTTGCAAATTTCTATGTTTCCCAGGATGTGATGCATAGGTTGGTGCAGAAATCGTGCGTTTCTGCAAAAGTGGATTCTTCTCAATATTGCGTTCTTTCAGCCGTATGCAGAAATCCAAGAACTGAAAAAAAGAACAATGATGACTTCGTGCGTGTTTGGCAATTCAACTCCCTTCAGCTATCAGCTAAGCAGGTATCGAAATGAAGTTCTCGTCACTCCTCTCTAGTGAGGTGCTTCATTCAGGCTTTGTATCTGTTTGCTTTACAGACTATCTGGATTCCGTAAACGGAACACCAGTTGCTTTGCAAACTGTCCCGACAACGAGTGTGTGTCCCCTTGACGAGTAGAATGCTGCTGAATATTTATCAAAAAAAAATCAGTCGACGAGAAAGACCAATCAGAGTATGAAGGAAAGCTCAACTCGATTTTTGTTGCTACAGATCTTGTTATTGGGCGGCAGGCATAAAAGCCCTGTTTGAAAAATTGGTTAGTGAAGGTTACATGCGGTGTCGTCAGACCGATTGCAGGTGGCAGCCCAATTACGGCAACTCAGTCATCAGTCCCTTGATGTTTGGGTCACCTTCATGAGAGCGTTCAAAAGAGTATAGTGATAGTAACTTTTTCGCTGCTACATTTGCATAATTTACTCGCTCTACTTAGATTTTTTCATGTTCATCGTTTTCCTTAGCAAAACAAAGAGAGAGGTAGCCGTGAGAGTCTGCGCTATTTTTTGTGTCGTTAGTGGCAATATCGTGATTCAAAACGTAGACGACAACGCACGTTTTTGGTTGTCTCTCTTGGGAGAATGTCTTTCATGTATAAGTCGAAAAAAGCCAAAATCATGCAGATCGTCAACTACAGTATCCATACACTAATTCTATAAAGCAGGCGAGAAATACAAGAGCAGTAACTAAGGTTAGAGCGTGGAGAACTTCTGTGTAACGTATTTAATCCACAATAGCACTCTTTTATTGAATTTGAGCCATGACCCATCATGTAAATCACGTTGTCGTCAATGTGT